TAAGAAGAATACTCACTATGTTTTGTGTTTCTATTTAAAATTAGATTAGACAAGTGTGAATGTGTGTTGCTTCTATTGTAGAATTTTTTTTTCGTTTAAACAGTATTCGAATAATAATATAATACCTCTGCTCATCCATTTTATGCACATGACAGTGTATCATCGATTTTGTTCATTAATGAGTTATTGTATAAAGATATCAAAAGAAAAATCTTTTATCAGTTAAAAAAAATCATCGATTCATTGACCGCAAATGTTATCAAAATTGACCTATAAAAAAATATACTTCAAATGATAACTAAGAATTGCCGCTACGAATCTGAGCAATTACGGAAAGAAGATGAACTTAAAATACTTGTATGACTGTATTGCAAGCTTTTCAGTGCAAATTTTGGCAGTTTCAAAAAGATTTTTTTCCAACGAATATCTTAATATTCAAATAAATAATAGAAAAAAGAACTAGACTGTCGCTGTAGAAAGGACAACTGATTTCGTGAACCCGAAAAATGTCAGAACACAATCCTATACGATATCTTCTATGTTTAAATCTTAGACTTTTTGTAGAAGGAATCATAATGAGTTTCAGTCGCGTTCAGCTATCTTGATAAACTTGCCTCATATCAGAATCATGGTTAGATGTGGAGGATAAGTGGCTGATTTGAGTCGTTACTAATGCATCGAGAAGAAGAGAAAGAAAATTTAATTTATCATAGCACCTCAACGAGCGAAAAAAAAATTAAATCTCCACAAGACTTTACCATCAGACGAAACAAAAAGAATAGTATTATTCGTTTTTATTTATTTCTCAAATGGTTGCATGTAACTGAATATGATTATAACACGTCATTATAGTTGTGCGCATGTTTTTCGCATAATTTATACAAATCACTATACATTAATATGCCTACCCCGTCTTTAATAAATAAATCAATAATGTTTTCTTTCTATGATTAATTCACCTATGATGTAATAATAAACCATAGTAGAAGGATACTACCTGTTTGAATTGTAATTTTTCATTGGTATCATATTTATTCGTCGAAAGAATAAAAGAAAAGGAAGTATGCACTAGAGTGCCAATGTTTAACAAATAAAATGAAGCTACTGTAGGTTAAATGCAATAAATAAAAAATCAAAGGAAGGAACAAGTTTTGGCGATTGCTATAAGTAATAATATTAGACTTTTTCAGTTTTAGCTTTATAATGAATTGTTTTAAGAATTTTATAGTGATGAATTCTAATTGGTTTGGTTTCTTATGCTTTTTTGCGATGATTATTTCGGTTAATAGCCAGGCATGCTATTGGACAAATCGTGACATTTTTAATCGAGCTCAATGTTCTGCAGGTTTTGTCGAAAAACTGAATCCGGCTTGCAACACTGTAAGTGTATTATGAACATGTTAAATTATACGAAGATTCAGATATAAAAGTGAGGTCTATTCGAGAATGCAGATTTAGTCATCAGGACTATTGACATCTAGTCCTAAAATTGGGCAAGAAATATTCTTACTTTCATGCTTTCAGTAAACATTTTACTGCTCATTACTTAGTTAGTCAATATTTTTTTTTATTTGAAGTTAATACCTGACATCGATGCTATACAGATATCATTTTAACATTGTTCATATTTTATGCTTCTCAGAAGAAATGCAATAAGATGAATTTGCATAATTGAAAGATATTCTATGCATGACTCGTAATATCCTTGTTCGTTATATATAGGACTTTAATTTCTAGTCGACTAATGCCCTTTCTCAAGTTATGTTATGAATTCAGGAAAATTTCAATGGTTGTCTGAAAATATCCAATGCGGAGTGTTCCATGAAAATTTACAGTGGCAAAAGCGATAAGAATGTTGAATCAACATATGTTGTAAGAAGAGGATAGCGAAATAAGTTAGACTGACAGACTCGGGTAATGATAGGTCCAACCCGGCCTGATAGGGTCAGATCGGTTTCATTATGTAACAAATGAATGCATGATGCATCAGAGATCTAGATGCGCATGCACGGCATATAAAGATGCGGGATCCTTAGGTGGATACACGGTTAGAAACGCTTTTGAAAGTGGGGACAAAGCAGCCGCTTCGTCTCGTCCTTTTCTATCATGAGAGGAGTGTTTCTAATAACATCAAACACACTTTTATGCATGTAAATATTGAAGTTCAGAGGAAACATCTTCGAGCTTATTGTTAGTGTTCTATTGAGATGTCAGTCCTGGTTTATCGCCCTAATATGTAGTTCTTTTCCTTCTATTCGAAGAATTAGCGAACTTAAGGGCTGCGACATTTTAAAAACTCACAGATGCCTAAGACAAAAATTTTCTTTGAACTTCTTATAATTTTTTCAGCTCTTAGTACCCTTGATTATTTTTGACGAGCCTCCTATGTTTCTTCGGAAGTTTGCATCACAGTATATTGCTACTCAATCAATATGAAAAGAACTCCAACCCGATTGTTAACGCCTCTTTGAAGAACTACTATCGACTCATTGCTTTGTTTCTGCACCATCCTTCTACATTCACTTCTGATTCTATCGTAAACAGTCAAACATCGTTCCACCAAAAACTATCTGCTCTATAATATGTAGCAGACTACTTCTGCTCATTTCCTTTCAGAAACAAATAGGCAGACAAGTGCAATATCTATAGATAGCCTATTAGTAATACATAATTCAGTCTCCATAAAATTGTAGTGAAATGCTATGAAAAATATTAATCAGCCGCCAGTATATCATCAAAAAATCTACGCTGCGAAAGACTAAATAGCTAAGAATATTACTAAGTGAGCTTCTAGGTTGAAAAATCTGATGAATTCATGAAAAATGGGTCTTGAATTTTGTGTATAATTCTTATCGTATCTTATTATTATGTCTTCCTCCATAAAGATTCTTCCACTGAATAAACCGTATCTGCATCCTGATTGGTTTGTACAAGCTAAGGTGCTTCCTTTTTTCAATGTAATACCTTTTCTTCCAGAAAAGGAGAAAAAAGTTATGGATAAAGATCCATGAATGTTTAATATATTATTTTTAAGAACCTGTATGGATTCTCATTTCCATCTTCTCGAAAATTTTGCTGTGATCAATCAAAATGTGCTTATACGAGCAGTTTGTATATTGGACACTTGTAAAGTCTGCACTGCATGCTCAGTTGGTCAGATCCAGTATCCAGAAGTAGCATCACAAGCGTGCGTTGCTAGTTTTATGAATGTGAAACTCAACGGTAAGAAAAACTGGTGTTGTAAGCCATGAACATTGATAATCGATGCACAAGAAGCTGTTTATTTAAAAACAAGATATATCTACAATTATTCCTTGAACCTTGTACTTCATGAACTTTATTTCATTGATTATTTCTTGTTTTTTGCGCATAAATAAACATGTATTAACAAATATATATATATATTGCTCTACGATCAAAAACTTCAGAAGAAGCGACCTCGAAAACAAAAACCGAAGTATAATTTCCAAAACTAGACCAAAGAAATGCTGTCTATCATGAATCAATAAACTTTATGTCTGTAATTAATGGATATTTGCTTCGATAACATTTGTGCATTTTTAAATCGATTGAAACAGTACAAATATGCATTTTCTTTGAGTTATTACCATTATTTCGTTGTTTCTTAGACATTAACATATTTATTAAAATGTTGAGTGCGTTGAATTCAAACCTGTTATTGCATATGATTAGTGAAACAAAATAATAAATGATGGACGTAATGATTGTAAAGAATAGTACAATATCAATCAGAATCGCTGAACTATCCAGAGTAATTCTTGATGCAAAAGAAATCATTTCTTTTTTCTTTATGAAAAATAGCTTCGAGATGCAGCGATTTTTCAATGTTAGCTAGAACACGTACGTTACAGATATGAAGCTTGGAACATACTGATGAGATTGGTTCTGTTGATTGTTTAAAGAGATATATATGTTTTTGCATCAAATAATATGCTGAACATCGTGTATGATGGTTTGTAGTGGAACAATAGCTTTATTGAGAAAGACAAGAGGTGTACTTTCAGAGTCTTGGATAGGTGAAAGAATGCCTTCTGGCTCTTCATTTACATTCAAGAATCGAAAAGCATGTTGTGGCTCATATATATTCACCTATCCAACATAAAGATGATCGTCATTACACGTCGAGTCTTTCCAGACTCATGAAGAAAATAAAAGAATAGAAATTCTATTAGGGAGAATTTTTTCTTTAAACATAGGAGGATAGAATATCTTTTACACTATTCATCATAAAAAAAGTTTTCCTACATTCATGCTCTGCACAGTTTCATTTAATAACAAGAATATGCTGAGCAATAGTGATTACAAATAAAGTTATTTTTTTTTTGCTAAGTCAACAAAGAAAAAAAACTCTTTTTGTAAGAAGGCATCTCTCCTTCTTATCAGTAACTTAGAAACATGCCAACAAATGCAACTATGTGCCTTACCTGTACGCACTACTTTTTTGAAATCAAAGAATAAACAGACTGTTCTTCGTTTGATCTCAAGCAAAAGAACTGGTTGTTTATCATATATTTCAACATTATTAATCAGGAAAAGAGAAAACCTTCGGGATCGCGACAAATCACTTTCTTTCACGACATACTTTTCATCAACAATCGTCAAGTTTTGTAGCGTCACTATATAATCGGGATACAATGGTTATAGAAGAAGCATGACATTCTCTATTAAACGAATTCCTCACTAAGCTATTTATTGAGCTTTGTAATGCCAACCATTCGTTTTATTTGCATGTACCAAAAAAGAAAAGATACCTTTTCACAACTCATGTACTGCAGAATCAGACAAAAACAAACGGTCTCCATACCAAACAACTTTCTTGACTTGACAACATCAATAAAGAATGTTTTACTAGAACGAAAAGAGAAGACTGAATACATTTTATTTTATTTTTATCTTAAGATGGCAAGAGCATTAAAACAAACAATTTCTCTTTAATTTCACAATCTTGATTCAACGCATTGTCTCTCACACAAAAAAGAATGGGAGGAACAACTTCAAATGCGACTAAAACAACTGATGAAAATCTTGAATCATTGTCACTAATTTGGCTCGATGCAGATGTTAATAATTCCAGGGAAAACATTGATGTACAAAAACGACTTCGCTCAATAATTAGTTATTTAAAAACATTTCAAGATCCTGTAGAATGCGAGAAATACATTCGATCAGTTCCTGATGGTGATAGAATGTTGTTTATTGTGAGTGGAGGATTGGGTCGAGATTTAGTACCTCGTATTCATAAACTTCGGCAAATTCTTTCGATCTATGTCTTCTGTTTCGACAGAAAAAAACATGAAGAATGGTCTCAAAATTTTACCAAGGTAATTATTTTAATATTTTGTTTGTTGATACTGAGCAATCATATGAAAGTAGATTAGTTTCTATGTTTTTGGAATATAAATACAGGCAGTTGGTACATCTTGATGAAGTTCATTTTCCAACACTGTTGGAAACACATTAAATAAATGTGATATTTTTCATGCGATGTATATTTTCAATGAAACAAATATGTTGATAAAATGTTCACATCATCGAACAGGCTCAAGTCTATAGAATTTTTCTTGAGATTGTGGATGTTGGCTTACATATAGAAGATATTTCCAAACCTACACCCTTCGGTCTTTCGACGTGTCTAGTTTTCACAATGTATGAAATCGGTCTTCTGACTTGAAAAATAAAGGAAAAGGCAAAAAATCAAAATCTGTAGGACAGAAAGAGAAAAATTGAATCCATGTGTAGAAATCTATAATAATTGATAGAGTGAAATGAGTTCCAGTAAGGATTGTAACTAGCGCAAATAGAACTAAATCATTCGGTTGATCGAGGATTTGCTTTGATTTGCAAAATTTTATTTTTAACGACATAATATTACTTTTCTCCATGTAGATAAAAGGTTTATTCACTGACAAACAACAACTTGTTGCTCAAATTCAATCGGACCGTGAGAGAAGAAAAAAAGGTGATGAGCCAATCTTATTTACTGTTCAAGGTCAATCGACAAGTGAATTAAATGGTCAATTTGTTCATTCTCAAATCTTTATCGATGTCTTACTTCGTATAAAATCAACCCCAACAGACAAAGATGAATTCATTTCTCGTTGTAACACAATATACAAAGGCAATGATTCTGAATTAAAGATAGTCAAAGAATTTAATAGAAAATATTCTCCAGATAAAGCTATTTGGTGGTATACAAGAGAATCATTTCTTTATCGAATGTTAAACAAGGCACTTCGAGTACAAAATACCGATGTACTTTTTCTATTTCGGTTTTTTATTGTCGATCTACGACAACAATTGAATGATCATCGATGCGCTGCACTTTGTCGTCTATATCGAGGTCAAATGATGTCAAAAGATGAAGTGAAAACCCTGCGTAATTCAATTGGTCAATTTATTTCGATTAATTCTTTTTTCTCCACTAGTACCGATCGTTTTGTAGCACTTCGATTTCTAGATTCGACTTCCGATGATCTTGAACAAGTCTTATTTGAAATGGATGCTGATCCTTCTGTCACAACTAAGCCTTTCGCTGATATTACAAAATTAAGTTATTTTCAAAATGAAAAAGAAATTTTAGTCATGCTTGGATCAATATTTCGAATTATTGATGTACATCATGATGATAATCAAGTATGGATTATTAAAATGACATTATGTTCTGATGATGATCATCATCTCAAAGCTATTTTTGAACATATGAAAAATGAACATGGTGGTGGAGAAAAAAATCTTCTTTCATTTGGAAATGTCTTAGCAGATATGGGTAAATTTGATGAAGCTGAAAAATATTATCTTCGTTTACTCAATCATCTCTCTCCTGATGATCCAGATATTGCTCGTTGTTATCATGGTCTTGGTAATATCACCGATGAAAAAGGTGATTATGATTCAAGTCTTGAATGGCATAAAAAATCGCTCGACTTGAGACTCAAAGCATTAAAATCAGATCATCCTCATCTTACACCTAGTTATATTAGTATTGGATGTGATTATTTTAATAAAGGTGATTATCAACAAGCACTTAAATCATATAATACAGCATTTGAAATTATCAAAAAAGCTTTTGGTGAAAGTCATCCTGATATTGCTATGTGTTTAAATAATATAGGTTGTGTATATGAACGACAGAAAAATGATTCCAAAGCACTTGAATATCATCAGCAAGCATTAGATATTCGTTTAGAGTATTTACCTGAACATCATCCTGAAGTTGGTCAATCACATCATAATTTGAGTAATATATATCGTTGTCAAGGTCAATATGATCTTGCATTGAAACATTATAATGACTCACTTACAATTAAAACAAAATCTTTACCTTTAGAACATCGTGACATTGCATTAACTCTTGAAAATATTGGTAATATTTATAAAGATAAAGAAGAATATCAAGAAGCACTCAAATATTACAAAAAAGCTGCTAATATTTATTGTAGTTCATTACCTCCTACACATCCAAGTGTACTACAAATTGAAGAATATATTAGATATTTATCTTAATTATGAGTAATAAATTATCCATGAAAAGAATGAAATTTGAATTCATATTTGATAAAAATAAAATGAGACAATTATGTTTTGAAAGTTTAAGATGGAAATTTAAGTTAAGGAATTATTGCATCGATCTCAAATTTGATTTTCATTCCTACGTAGAAAAAGAAACGTCTTGAGAACATTTTGTGAAGCTCGTTTGGGACTGAAATGTGGAACTCACATACGCTCTCAAGTCTCATTAAGCTAATACAAAATACGTAAAGTGAAAAACCTATTGTAAACTATAGTTGTTTTGCAGGGCAATCAATTACTAGAGTAAGACCTCTCTAATGTCTGCATTTCGAACAGAAAGCTTTCATTTTTCCAACAGTCCCCTATTTAGTTTGTATTGCTGGTATTCGCTCATGGTTTTGTCATTGTTTTTTAATTCGTTTTTGTTAACTAAACATTATTATCATAGAATTCGTTGGCAAATAAGTATGTTTTACATATTCATGATATCTACAACAGGTGTTACGCACTATTATATATGTTAATCAACTCACGAACAATGATGTTGATTATCCCAAAAAAAAACTCTAGAAAGTCTGACACCTGTTATTCTCGATTGCTAAAGTCTTTAATGGAGAGAGGGCAGAGGAGGAGCCGCAAAACTTCGATTTAAAATTTACACATACTATTTTCTTCAAAAATATATGTGAATTTCACAAAACAGTGTTGGGTGACTTAGTATCTGAAGTGCTGTTGGGGGCTAAATTGGATGGATTGCAGTTAGGATA